TTTGTTTTACGACAAATCAACCTCAATGGGGTTATTTAATGCCAACAACATTTTTAGCATAGATTCGTATGAATAGAATATGTATTCTTTGGTTTAGATTAGATTGGTTTATTTTGTTTTACAGCATATCAATCTCAATGGGTTATTTAATGTCGACAACATTTTTAGGATAGATTGGGATGAATAGAATATGTATTCTTTGGTTTAGATTGGTTTGGTTTATTTTGTTTTAAGGCATATCAATCTCAATGGGTTATTTAATGCCGACAACATTTTTTATTGCTTTTACTATTTTGTTTTGTCAAAAATCTGTTTCTGGTAATATTTTTCCTTCAAAATTGTATTGCTGGTAATATTTTTTTCAAAAATGTATTACTGATTATAGTAAACTATTTACCCATAGCTGAGACCCAAACTGGACCTGGGAACACCAGCAATTAAGATTTGGTTCTACGCTCCTCAAGACCTCCTGATCAGAGGCCTTGCTGATGGATGTAGTTTATCGTCTTACCCAGGACATAAAAATGTCCTTTCAAAGATGCTTCATGACGTAATCTATGTTTTATTACCTAAACATTTCAGTTAACCTGGTGAATACTTACAAACGATGTAAAAATGATGAGAAACTGCGTAATATTTATGTAAGCTATCTCGGATTGCAAAGGAAATATTTGTCGCAGATTACTTCCACAACGCAGAGAATAAATCACTAATTTCAGACTCGAATATCGGGCGCCGAAAGAAATGTCGAAAACTCGATTCGCGGGTCCTATCTCACAATGCACGCAACCAGTCAGAAAAATAACTCACTCTCCAACAAACGCAGTAACCAAAATACACGAATGTTCCCTCTCCCGATTCTAGAACATCAACTGCTTTTATCGACCGAGCATTTTTTCCATTCGTCGACAACTGGGACAGGACGCTCAATTTTTGCGTATCAAAATACTTTTATAGCGACTCCTGCGACGGACTTGTTTTTTTTTTTTTAATTTAAATATTCCGTCTTCAGAATGTCATGCGGAATACGTGCCCTTTTTTGGGGTAAGTAATTTTCTTTTTCGCCACATTTTCCGTCGTAGGATACACGCGACGCGCTGTCGCTTGGTTTGACGAGGTAAGTCGCCATTTTCTTCGCTATAATTTACTTGCTGCAAAATAAAACTATCACATTTGCCTTGATAATGTCCGTCAGATGACGAAACATGTCGGCCAATAATTAAGTATAGTTTTCCGCTTGTAATTTCACTCATATATATATATATATATATATATATATATACACACATCACACTTCATATATATATATATATATACATATATATATATATATATTATATATATATATATATACACACTTACACACATCATAGTCACTCACTCCCTAATGAGCCAAATGATAACACACACCCACAGTAATACACACGCTTACACATATCATACTCACTCACTCCCTAAGAACCAAATAACACACACACAAACACTAAACAGAGACACATCCCCTCTCCAGGTCCAATAAAACTGTCAAACTGACCAGGGAATTCAGAGCAGCATGAATCTATCCAGCTCTTATCTCAAATAACAACTTAAAAGAGACTGTTTGAGCAACACAAGGAATGTTAAAAGATTCATGTTAAAAAGATAAAAAAATAAAAAAAAAACAAATGAAAACAACAGACAAAAGTTCATTTTCTCCATCAAGACATTCATTTCTGTAGTTTACTGCTACCAGCAAGCAGAAATATTTCTTCTCCTGATGATGACCATATTGGCCGAAACTAGTCGAGGAATCTAAATGAAATAATAATAATAATAAAAACGAAAGAATATTGATCTACAACCCAGTGTGTCTGAAGATTTGAATTTTTTAACATTTTTTTTTGTTCAATATATATATATATATATATATATATATATATATATATATATATATGATAGGAAGAAAGAGACTTTGAATATCAATGAATAATTAAAGTCTCAGTTTTCTTTTTATCATTATAATTTTCTGTAGTCTACATTGATCTCTCCTTGGATTTATATTCTTCTTGGAATTATCCCTTCCAGTCACAAACTGGTAAAACGTATCTGTCTATATTTCTGAGATAAGATATTATGTACACTATTTACATTATTCGGACTATTGTCCTCATCTTTGTCGACATAGACACATGGCACAGTGGATAAAGATGTTGGTTAGATCCAGTGTGAGTTCAATACCCGGTTAAGGCAGTGGGGAACTTGCAGGGGGGAATTAACTAGAGATAACTGAGAACTGATTAAACATGGCACGTGGAACCAGAACAGTCTACCCCACTAAGCGAAATAAAAGGTTCAGTTCGACATTCCAACCACCTGAAGAAGGCCAGAGCGTACAACGACCGTTGTAATAAATATGGCGACAAAGATGATAACAATAGTCTGAATAATGGAATAATAATTAATTATGTAAAACGTATAATATATACATATATATATATATATATATATATATATATATATATATAGAGAGAGAGAGAGAGAGAGAGAGACAGACAGACAGACAGACAGACAGACAGAGATAACGATAACGATATATATTTTTGTATATCAAGAAAAATATTTGTGAAAAATGTATGACAAAGCCAGAAAAGTTTTCTTGTGACGCTTTTCATATCATGAATTCATTGGGCTAAATTTGTTACGATGGGGCGACTACACATGCGCACGAACGAGGGATGCTTGGAATTAAAAAAAATTAATTTTTTTTTTTTAATCTAGCCATTTTAATTTTGATTTTTCTTTTTTTTCCTTTCCATCACTTTTGTTAGTAGATATCCCACACTGTGATAATAAGATTTCTGTTAGGAATAGTGATAAGGAAAACATTTTTTTGACATTTTATCTTTGTTTTTCCGACGCCATTTTTCCTTCCTCCTCTATTCATATATTTTTCCAAATCATTTCTTTTCGTTTTTTTTTTGCCATGATAACTTTTCATTTCTTTCTTTTTCTCTATTTCATCGATCGCTAATTTCTCATTTCTTATATTTCTTTTCGACTGAATTCGTTCTTCCGTTATTTTTTTCGTTGATTTTGTTAATTTTTCTTTTCCTTTTTTAATTTTGTGTTTTCATCCATTTTTTTTGTCATTTTAATTTTTTCATTGCTTTTAAGAATAGTTCATTCCTTTTTTTAATTTTATTTATTCACCTTATTTCTTTCGTTTGTATCTATTCTTATTATTTTTCTCAGATTCATTCTTTGTTTCTTTTTTCTTCAATTTTTTTTTTTAGTAACGACTGTGTTTTCTTTCTTCCATTATTTCTGTTTTGTTGTTCTTTTTTCTCTATTTTCTTTTTTTTTATCCTTTATTTTCAGTTTTTATATTAGGGTTGTTTACCATTAATTTCTTTCATTTGATTTTCCTTTTACGTCCTTGAGCCTTTCACTCAATTCTCTCTTCCTCTTTCTTCTTCTTTTTTTTCTTTCGTATATTTGAAATCGAAATCATTAACCTATTCTGTCTTTCTATATTTAGTTCTTTTATCAATTATTTACTTTTTCGCCATATCTATCACAACAAATGGCGAAAAAGATGAAGACAATAGTCCGAATAATGTAAATAATGTACTTAATACCTCATCTCAGACAGATTCTTTTATCAAATTCATCATTTTTTTTTTGCTTCTTTCTTCAATCTCCACTTCTAATCAGTTCTGTTAAATTTTTCAGTTCTTCTCTATTTCTCATTCAACTTTCTTTCTTTTCGTTTCTTTGTTTTTTTCTCTCTCAACCGTTCATCCTTTCTGTCTTTTTTCTTTCTTTTCTTTCTATCGTTCTCTTTTCTACCTTCCTTTCTTCTTTTGATACTTATTTCCTTCCTTCCTTCCTTCCTTCCTTCCTTCCATTCTTTCCTCCTTTTATTATTTCTTTTTCTCTTTCTTCCATCCTCTCTTGCTTTCTTTCCTTCTTTTCTTCTTTCTTTCCTTCTTTCCTTCTTTCTTCCATCCGTTATTTCTTTCTTTTTAGTTTCTTTCTTCCTTCTCTTCGTTCTTTCCTTCTTCTTTCTTTCTTTCTTTCTTTCTTTCGCCTTTACTTCCGTTCTTCCTTCTTTCCATTCTTTCTTTCTTCCTTCTTTTTTCCGTTCTTTCGTTTTTTCATTCGACTTTTCTTTTTTCTTTTCCATTCTTTTCTTTCTTTCTTTTCTTTCTTTCTTTCTTTCTTTTTCTTTCTTTCTTTCTCCCTTCTTTCCTTCTTTCTTCCATCCGTTATTTCTTTCTTTTTTAGTTTCTTTCTTCCTTCTCTTCGTTCTTTTTTCTTCTTTCTTTTCTTTCTTTCTTTCTTTCTTTCGCCTTTACTTCCGTCCTTCCTTCTTTCCATTTTTTCTTTCTTCCTTCTTTTTTCCGTTCTTTCGTTTTTCTCATTCGACTTTCTTTACTTTTCCATTCTTTCTTTCTTTCTTTCTTTCTTTCTTTCTTTCTTTCTTTCTTTCTTTCTTTCTCCCTTCTTTCCTTCTTTCTTCCATCCGTTATTTCTTTCTTTTTAGTTTCTTTCTTCCTTCTCTTCGTTCTTTCCTTCTTCTTTCTTTCTTTCTTTCTTTCTTTCTTTCTTTCTTTCGCCTTTACATTTCCGTCCTTCCTTCTTTCCATTCTTTCTTTCTTCCTTCTTTTTTCCGTTCTTTTGTTTTTCTCATTCGACTTTCTTTACTTTTCCATTCTTTCTTTCTTTCTTTCTTTCTTTCTTTCTTTCTTTCTTTCTTTCTTTCTCCCTTCTTTCCTTCTTTCCATTCTTTCTTTCTTCCTTCTTTTTTCCGTTCTTTCGTTTTTCTCATTCGACTTTCTTTACTTTTCTCTCCTTTTCTTTCTTTCTTTCTTTCTTTCTTTCTTTCTTTCTTTCTTTCTTTCTTTCCCCTTCTTTAGATCCTTTCTTTGTTTCTTTCTTCCACTCTTTCTTCCTTCCGTTATTTCTTTTTAATTTCTTACAGTCTTTCTTTCTTCATACTTCTTATTCTTTTTTTTTTAATGTATGTCTATTTATTTTTATTAATTGTGTCGTTTTCATTCCTTCATTTTTCTTTTCCATTTCCGTCCTTTATACCTTTCTTTCTACGGGTTTCTCTCTGTGTTCTCTTCTTTCTTTCTTTCTTTCTTTCTTTCTTTTCAATTGTTCCTCTTAGTGTTCATTTGTGATTTTTCATTCATTTTTGATCATATACACTTGTTCTTCTTTTAACTGAATTTTCTTTTTCCTTCTTTCTTCCTTTGTTTCCTCTTTTCAATTTCTTCATCTTATTCTTTCTGTTAATTCATATTTCTTATTCTTTTTTCTTACTTGTATTTTTCTTTATATCTTTTATTTAATTCATGTTTTACTTTCTTCCTTTCGTTTCAGTTCAATTTATTTCTTTTCTCTCTTTTTTCTATTAATTTATCTATTTTCTTTGTTTTTTTTTCCTTTACATTTCATTCAACGTCATTCATTTCATTATTTTATATTTCTACCTATCTTTATCCTTATTTCCTTTTCTCTTTCTCATTTTTGTCTTTTTCTATCAATTTACCTATTTTCTTTTCTGTGTTTCTTTTTTCCTCCTTTTTTCATTCCTTTCTTTCTTTTTTCATTCCTTTCTTTCTTTCTTTCTTTCTTTCTTTCTTTCTTTCTTTCTTTCACATTGCCGTTGTTTATCCATATGAGTTTCTCTTTCCATTCCTTTTTCATAATATTCTTTTTCTCTCTTTTAAAAATCTTTTTTCTTTTTTCACTTTTTACTTTTTTTTATTTTTTCTTCTAAAAGTCTATTTCTTTTTTCTTTATTTTTCTTTTCTTTTTCTTCTTTTAAAAATATTTTTTTTTCTTTTCTTGTCTTTTATGATTTTCTTTTTTCTTTTTCCTTTTAAAAGTCTTTTCTTTTACTTACTTTCCCATTTAAATTTGCGAATTATTTTTTTCCTCCACTTTTTAGTTTTGATTAATTCATCTTGTGTTTTACTTCTTCCCTTTTTTTATTTTATTTAATTTACTTTTTTGTTCTTTTATTCATTTCTTTTTTTCATTTTCTATTTCTGCATTAATTTACCTATTTATTGATTTATTTATTTATTTCTTCCTTTTCTTCATTCGTTCTTCTTTCTTTCTTTCTTTCTTTCTTCCTTTCGTTCTTTCTTTCTTTCTTTCTTTCTTTCTTTCTTTCTTTACATTCCCATCATTCGACTGTCATTCTGTCATATCATTATCATCTACCTTTTCTCTTTTTTCATTTTTGTCTTTATCCTTTTCATTCTGTCTTTATTCTTTTCTTTCTTTCTTTTTTTTTTTTTTCTTTATTCCTTTCATTCTTACTTTCTTCAAATTCCTATTGTTCGACCTTCATCCTATCGTATGGTTTCATCTACATTTTCTCTTTTTTATTTCTGTCTTTTTTCTTTTCATTCTTTCCTTATTCTTTTCGTTTTTTCCTTCATTGTTTCTTTCTTTCTTCCTTTCGTTGTTTCTTTCTTGTTTGCTTTCGTTGTTTCTTTCTTCACATTCCTATACTTCCAGCTTCATCCTATCGCATGTTTTTATCATCTACATTTTCTGTTTTAATTTCTGACTGTTTTCTTTTCATTCTTTCCTTGCTCTTTTCGTTCTTTCTTTTCGTTCTTTCTTTCATTCTTTTATTATTTCTTTCTTTCTTTCTCCCTTTCGTTCTTTCTTTTTTTCTTTCTTTTTTTCTTTCTTTCTTCACATTCCTATTTTTCGACCTTCATCCTATCGCATGTTTTTATCATCTACATTTTCTCTTTTTCATTTCTTTTTCTTCTTTTCTTCCTTTCTTTCTTTCTTTTCGTTTTTGCTTTCGTTAGGTCTTTCTTTCTTTCTTTCATTCTTTCTTTTGTTCTTTCTTTCTTTTGTTCTTTTTTCTTTCTTTCTTTCTTTCTTTCTTCCCATTCCCATCAGTTTATCCTTATCCTATCTTACGTCGTTATTTTTCTACCTGTCTTTATCCCTTTTCTCTTTTTTTTCATTTCTCTCTTTCTTCGCTTGTTTCGTTTTTCTTTCTTTTTTTATTTCTCATAATCCTTATTTGTCTATATTTGTAAATTTTTATTTGTTTTCATAATCTTTGGTTATTATTCAATCATTCCTTTTTATTATTTCTTTCTTTCTTTCTTTCTTTCTTTCTTTCCTTCCTTCCTCATTTTTACGTATTACTTTAATTTATTTATTCATTCATTTTTTGTTCTCTTCTTTCATCCGTTTTAACTTTTTCGTTTTTTCTTTTTACTATTAATTTATCTATTTTACCACCCTTTCTACCACCTTTTCTATATTTCTTTTCTTTCTTTATTTCTCTCTTTCTTTTTCTTCCTTCCTTCCTTTCTTTCTTTCTTTCTTTCTTTCGTCCTTATTCCTGTCTTTCTTTCGTCCTTCATTCATTCCTTTATTTCTTTCTTCTTTTTCTTCCTTCCTTCCCTTCGTTATTTATTTATTTATTTATTTATTTCTGTCTTTCTTATTTGCTTTCGTTCTTTCTTCATTTCTTCCTTACTCACTTTCTCTTTCTTTATTTTTCTTGTCTACCTCCTTCCTTTCTTTCATCATTCATTCATTCCTTTCCTCTATCATTTTTTCGTTCTTCCTTTTTTTTCCTTGTTTATTTTTCCCTGTTTCCTTCCCTTCTATCTTTTTTTTTTTTTTTGCTTTCATCCTTCCTTGCTCTCTTTCTTGCTTTCTTTCTTCTGTCTTTCTCCCTTTCTTCCTTTTATTTATTCTTTCCAACCCTTTGTTTCGTACTTTGTAGTTCCTTTCTTTGTTCATTATTTTCTCTACTTATTCATTTGTCTTTCTTCCTTCCTTTCTTTCTCTCGTTCTTACTTTCTTTTTGTCATTGTTTCTTTATTTCTTTCTTCGTTTCTCTCGCTCTTTATTCCTCCCTATTTTCTTTCTTTCTTTCTTCGTTTCTTTCGTTCTGTCATCCTTCCCTTCCTTCCTTGCTTCTGTCTCTTCATTCTCCCTTCCTTCCTTCCTTCCTTCCTTCCTTCCTTCCTCTCTCTGTTTTCTTTTATCTTTCTTTAGTCTCTTCTTTAATTCTTTCTTTTTGTCTTCGTTTCTTTCTTTCTTTCTTTCAACTTTTGTTTGTTTGTTTGTTTCTTTCTTTCTTTCAACCTTTCTTTCTTTCAACCTTTCTTTCTTCACATTCCACTCAGTCTACCATTCTCCTCTCGTACCCCTTTATCTTTCTACTTATCTTTATCGTTTATCCTTTATTTTCTTCTTCTCTTGCAGGAGTCGGTTATCTTTTACACTAATACATTATTTCTGCTTTACTAAATCCTTGTTATTCCACTTGGCTACCAAAACTGAATGTCGTCCAAGTGCTTTGACGTTCCGATTAGCATATCGCCATTTTTTTTTTCAAAACGAGGCTCTCCATTCTAATTGCATTCGCATACTTTGCCGTTGCGCGGGATTTTTTGGCACGCGTTTTTCTCAAGTTCTTTACTTGTTGTTTGCTAAGGTATTTTTTAATTGCTTTTTTTAGGCCTGTGTTTTTTTTTATTATTATTTTCTTATTGTTTCTGCTTTCGGTTGTTGCTGTGCTTCCATCGTTATTTCGACGTTGATGTGAGTGCGATTTCATTATGTCAATCGTTGACGACGCATCTATCTAATATATATATATATATATATATATATATATATATGAACATATATACATACATACATATATATATATATATATATATATATATATATATATATATATATATATATATATATATATATATAGACATATATAAAAGAAACATAGTGAATTTATATATGTGTGTGTGATATATACATATAGGTATGCATATATATATATATATATATATATATATATATATATATATATATTCATATAATATATATATATATATATATATATATATATATATATATATATATATATATATATATAGTATATTATATATCTATGCATATGTATGTGCAGGTATATATATACACACATATGCATCAATATATGCATAGATAAATATATATACAGGTGTATATATGTATCTATGTATATATGTATATATATATATATATATATATATATATATATATATATATATATATAATAGGCAAATGAATGACAAAATGGAAAATAACCCCAAATACATATGTAGGCAGACTAACAGACAACCAGGCAAACAAAGAGATAGATAGATAGATAGATAGATAGATAGATAGATAGATAGATAGATAGATAGATAGATAGATAATTTCATACTGAAATAAAACAGAATATACATCTCAGTCTGCGCAAGGTATTCCATTGTTCACCCCCCTTCAAATAATATATGGCATCGTTATCCTGTCGCGAAAAATTCCCGTGGTTTTCTGTGATCTTTCTCTATCTTTCAGCTAAATTTTATATTCCCTTCGTAAAAGAACAATTCCAGTCATGATTCGATTGTGGCAAAACCTGGAAAGACCACATGGAGCGAAATCCATTCTGGTGGAGAAACAAAGCCTTTCTTATATAATCGGTTATTAGTACCATTGCAGGAATAACCTGACTCATTCTGCCATACTTTCTCTTTACAAGATTCAGATTAAACCGGAAATGAATTATTGCTTCCGGTATTATATGTTATTTTCCCCAATGGACAAAAATGGCGTATATAGAATTCATCGACGAAAGAAATTCTACCCCAGTGCGTCATTCCTGTCCTGGGTAAGACGATAAACTACATCCGCGTCCTGGGTAAGACGATAAACTACATCCGCGTCCAGGGTAAGACGATAAACTACATCTGCGTTCAGGATAAGACGATAAACTACGTCCAACAGCAAGACCTCTGATCAGGAGGTTTTGAGGAACGTGGAACCACCTCTTAATTGCTGGTGTTCCCAGGTCCATCCTGACTCGGGGTGGTAGCACCTGTTAAGGTCCCAGCTATGGGCAAATAGTTAACACTCATACTTGTGTAAAAAAGGTTTTAATGCCAGAAATACTTTTTTTTTACCAAACTATCGCTATGAATCTGTTTCAAAAATTTTGTTGGCATTAAATGACCCACTGAGGTTTTGATATGTCATAAAACAAAACAATCAAGTGCGTCCTTCAAAGACATTTCTGACCCTTAATTCTTTGACAAGTGGCCTAATTTGCAGCTTCCTACATATATTCCTTCAGTAACTCAATAACCACGCGCGGTCTTCGTCTATAGGCACAAGAATAAACCCGACCAATTTTTATCAAATGCTTAAACCTAATCTTGGCCACTGTTTAGCTGTGTACTCCAGCAATAATCCGACAAGTGGTTTAATATGGACTGAAGCATAAGTCCGCCCATTGCCTATTGACCTAGGCCAAAACAAGATAAGTGTTTGCCTATGGGCTCAGGCATAACTCCGAACAGTATTTATCTATATGCTCAGGCTTATAGATCTACCAGTGATTGCCTATATGACCGAACATTATTTTTATATAGCCTCAGGTATAAGCAAAACCAGTGTTTTGCTATAGGCTCAGGTAAGACGATAAACTACATCGGCGTCCAGGGTAAGACGATAAACTACATCCGCGTCATGGCATAAATGTTGCCTCTATTGTTGCCTATAGAATCAAGCATAAGCACGGACAGTGATTACATGTGGACTCAAGCCTAAATCTAAAAGCAAATGGTTACGTACGAACCAGCATAAGCCCGACCAGTGTTTGCCTATAGGCTCAGGCATAAATGCGGCTGCTGTTCACCTATTGACTGAGGTATAAGCCCGACTTGTATGTGTAAAGACAGGTGTTTGCAGATAGATTAAATCAACCATTCGTCCTTGCATTGAATACAATTGCCATAAATGATCTGTTGCCCCGCTGCTCATCTCGAGGTCTAAAGACGGATATGCAATGTGATAGGTCCTGATCTGGCATCTCGTCTACAGTCACTTTCTCACCGGTGTGATATGGCTTCCTTCTGTTTTTTTTTAACAAATATTTTCATGGCAAGTGCTTTGACACGCTACTTTCACTGGTACCGCATCTGAATGAATTTAAGCGTGATACAAGGTTGGTATCTCGTTCTTCTTCTCGCGCACTTCCCGAAAGTGGAACCCCCTTCCTCTTACTTGCTTCCTGATAGCTATAATCTTCATATATACAAATGTAATGTCAATCGACATCTTCTAATACCTTGATCCCGGTCCCAGTCCCCTCTTCCTTTGCTTGGCACTCCTGCCTTGCTTGAGGGGAAATGCTTTTAAATGAATTTTCTTTTTTAATTCTTTCTTCCTTTCTTTCCTTTCTTCACTTTCTTCATCTTATTCTTTCCGTTAATTCCTTTTTCTTACTTCCTTTTTTTCTTTCTTTTATTTTATTTATGTTTTATTTTCTTCCTGGTTCGTTTCAGTTGAATTTATTTGTTTTCTCTCTTTTTTCTATTAATTTAGGTATTTTCTTTCTTTCTTTTTTGTTTGTTGGTTTCTTTCTTTCTTTACTTTTCATTCAACCTCTCTCCTATCACATTACTTTATACTTCTACCTATCTTTATTCTTTATTTCCTATTCTTTTTTTCATTTCTGTCTTTTTCTAACAATTTACCTATTTTCTTTTCTACGTCTCCTTTTCTTTTATTTATTTTCTTTTCTTTCTTTCTTTTCTTTCTTTCTTTCTTTTCTTTCTTTTTTTCTTTCTTTTTTGCCGTTGTTCATCCAATGTTACTCTTTTTCCATTCTTTTTTCATTTTCATCCATTAAAAAAGTCAATTCTTTTTTCTTTTTTTTTTTTTCTTTTTTCTTCTTTTAAAAGTCTTTTTCTTTTCTTTTTTCTTTTAAAAGTCCTTTTCTTTCTTTTCAAAGTTTTTTTTCTTTTCTTTTTTCTTTTTGTCTTTTCTTTTAAAAGGCCTTTTCTTTCTTACTTGACACTTTTAAATTTGTTAATTATTCTTTCTCTATTTGTCGATAGATTTTTGCTGTCCCTTTTAAATGAATTTTCTTTTTCAATCATTCTTCCCTTCTTTCCTCTTTTCCCTTTGTTTATTTTATTCTTTCCGTTAAGTCATGATTTTTATTCCTTTTTTTATTTCCATTTTTTCTTTCTTTTATTTAATTTATGTTTAATCCTTCGGCTTTTACTTTCTTCATTGTTCTTTTCAGTTGATTTTTTCTTCTTTTTCTATTAATTAATCTATTTTCTTTCTTTATATCTAATCCGAAGACATCTTCCTTTGCAATTTTCGTACATGTTTAACCTACTTTACTCTGCGTGTATTAGTCTTTCACTGCTTTTTTTTTTCTGATGCAATTGTTTCAGAACAAAAGTTATTTAAAATAATATTAAAAGACACTATTTCTGTATGGATTTATTCGACCACCTATGTCATTCTGTTCCACTACATTTCGCCCTCTTCAGGGCAACTTCATGGTTCTATTCTCCCAGAAATTGGCATCTTTCTGAGTGAATAACTTTCCAGGCATTTTGGATTTTGTAGGAATCGCACTAATCCCTGCAAGATTGAGTGGAATATGTCATTTAAAAAAAAAAATGTGATGAAAACTACCCTTCCAGCTTTTAAAGGAGCGTCTTTAATCAATACAATATGGGACAGTGCTTGTTTGAAATCAATGTCTGATTTTGTAGACGTTCGGAATGCACATTGCTCTTTCAGTCCGACTAGATACAATCCCAACAGCTTTTTTAGTTGTTAACCATGGCTCCTTTCCAATTTACCCACTACGATTTTCGCTTCACGTTGTAATATTTTTTTACAAAACAATGGGCCATATTTTGCTGCGTTCGTGTAGAGAATAACATCCCTTTAAATATTTTCTCCGTTAAACCAGGAAGGACCCAAATTTTTTGTTTCTAGATGCCTTACAATACTCTTATGAGATATGTGGAGTATATCTGTGACGTCCCGTGTCGTGCGATTATATTTCGTTTCGCTTTGTTTTTCATCAACAACTGCATTCCTGACAGAACGTTATCACTCCACCAGAACTGAATTTTCACTCGTGAACAAATTGATCTGCTTAAGAACTTAGCTATGGCACCATCTCTATAAACGGCACATAAATTTTTTGCTGTTTGTACACAGAGTTTCCTGACCGAAAATAAAAGTGAATCAAATGACCAAAAAATACATCTTATTTTCTTTCATTTTCGCTTTTAATGTGAAAATATTCAAACTTCAATCCAACGTTTGACTGTAGTTTTTGGTCAAATACAGTTCGGGCTTATGCTTGTATCTATAGACAAAGACTGCCTGATTCTATAAACCTGGGTTTTGGCAGCCTTTTGCTATATGTACCGATTTAGGGTTTTAAAATCATTCAGTTTGCCAATAGCATACGTATTTTTATACAAGTCAAGGTCAATATACCTGTTCTATATTTTATATAGTAATATATAGTATATATACTTTAGTATATATTAAAACTGAAATAGCTAAATATCTTCTTTGCTTTATATGAGTTATTGGCTCAGACTTCGGGATGTCATTTGCAGCTGTGTGCTTTTTGAAATTGCTCGGCGTGCAATGTGTGGCACGCGTGTCGTAATTTGCCAACCCCTGCTTTAGTATATATTAAAACTGAAACAGCTAAATATCTTCTTTGCTTTATACGAGTTATTGGCTCAGACTTCGGGATGTCATTTGCAGCTGTGTGCTTTTGGAAATTGCTCGGCGTGCCAGGTGTGGCACGCGTGTCGTAATCTGCCGACCCCTGCTTTAGTATATATTAAAACTGAAACAGCTAAATATCTTCTTTGCGTTATAGTAGTTATTTTATCAGACATCATAATGTCATTTGCAGCTGTGTGCCATTGAAAATTGTATGGCGTGCCGCATGTGGCACGCGTGCCGTGAGTTGCCGCCCACTGCTAGAAGCGGTTATTGATGAACTGAAGGAATATTTGTAGGAAGATGCAAAGACATGTCGTAATGCCGCCTTTCCAAAAATGAACAGATGCCATAAATGGCAGTCACGTGTTAAACGAAATCACGTGTTCAAACGCCGCCATTTTTTTTTTAAATCATTTCCTCCCAAGCGACGCCATAATGCCTCTATAATACAAAGCGTTATTAAGATTGAAGGGATCTGAGAAAACGCTCGTAAGGAGAGCGGGCAATCAAAGAACATTGTTCAAGGGGACAATATGATGACTGATGTTGCAGGAAATCGAGAAGCCGGAAGATATTTCCATAGGCAGGAAGTGCAAAAGAAGAAACTAACAAAATAGAACTTACGGTTTCAGTTTAAACTTTGCTTTATGTTGTACGAGTTGACCCCATGTCTCAATCAGGGACTTAAAGAAAAAAGGAATTTGTTTTTCTATCGGATGGAAACAGATGAGATTCAATAGACACAGAGTTAAAACAATAATGTAATTGTGGTCACAGCCTAGATATAAAACGACTCAAAATGTAAGAATTACCTATGAATATGATTTTCTGCAATTAATATATTTTACGTCTGTCGGAAATATTTGTTTACTCTTTTTGATATCATTCTCATAGCCATTATAACAATAGTTTGTCTTTATTAAATGACTCACATAGGTCAATGGTAATGACGCAGGGTTAGAGTAAGGGTTAAGGTTAGCAAGATGTCGTAAGATTAATGATATAACTTAGCATTTTTCAAGTGGTTGACTTCACGAATTTAAGTGTAGAACTAGATTTGGCGCTAGGGCTCATTATTCTACAGTAAAAATGTTAAGTTAGAATTCCTAGATGTTAGAATTGCTAGATGTTAGGGTTGCTAGATATTAGGATTGCTAGATATTAGAATTGCTAGGTATTAGAATAGCTACAAGCTAGGATTGATAAATATTAGAATTGCTAGATGTCAGAATTGCTAGATATTAGAATTTCTAGATATTAGAATTTCTGTATGTAGGGATTGCTAGATGCTAGAATTGTTAAATATTAGAATTTCTAGATGTTAGCATTGCTAGATATTAGAATTGCAAGATATTTGAATTGCCAGACGTTAGGTTTGTTGGATGTTAGGATTGCTAAATGTTAGAATTGCTAGATGTTAGGCTTGCAGGGATATTAGTGTTGCAAGATATTAAAATTGCTAGATGTTAGGATTGTTAGATGTTAGGATTGCTAGATGCTAGATTTGCTCGGTTTTAGCATTGCTAGATGTTAGGTTTGCTAGATATTATACTTGTTTGATGATAGGTTTGCTAAATATTGGAATTGCTAGATATTAGAATTTCTGTATGTTGGAATTGCTAGATACTAGAATTGTAAATATTAGAATTTCTAAATGTTAGCATTGATAGATATTAGAATTGATAGACGTTAGGTTTGCTGGATGTTGATATTGCTAAATATTAGAATTGCTAGATGTTAGACTTGCAGGAATATTAGTGTTGCGAGATATTAAAATTGCTAGATGTTAGGTTTGCTAGATGTTAGGATTGATAGATGTTGGGATTGTTAGATGCTAGAATTGCTCGATGTTAGCATTGCTCGATATTAGCATTGCTAGATGTTAGCATTGCTAGACATTAGAATTGCTTGATGTTAGGATTGCTAAATATTAGAATAGCTAGATATCAGAATTGCTAGATATTAGAATTGTTAGATGTTAGCTTTGATAGTTATTAGGTTTGAATATATATTATTATTTCTAGATGTTAGAGACTTATTTGAAAGCACGAGAAGTATTTATAATACACGCTGTTATTTGATACACCGATTCTCGTAATATCCCCGAAGTTAAGTAAAGTTGAGCCAGATCACTACCTTGATGAGTGACCGCTTGGAAATACCAGGTGCTGCAAATTTGGATGTGCGGGTGGTGTAATGTATAATGGCTCAAATTTTTTAGTAGAAGAGCTCAGTTCCTATTCTAGGTGGTTTTGTTATATTCCTTTCAGCGCAAATACCCTTGGGAAAGGTAGGAATCCACCTCTTCTCCCCCAGCTATGGATTAATTAGTAAGACTCGTATCATTGAAACCATTATTATTTCCAACAGATTAAAATGGGTACAAAATATTTATATTAACTGTAACGGCAAAATAACCCATAGATGTGTTGATATGCCGCTAAACGAAAAGAACCAACCAACAATATGTGGTTATATAAAAAAATAAAAACAGGTTCAATTTATTTCCTACCCACGTAACTTGGTTTTCCTTTACGTTTTCTCTAAATATTTCATGAAAATTGTTTTCATAAGTGTTCGTCTTCGTTACTACAACTTCAGAAATTCAAGCGTAGTACTAGATTGGCAGTTAGGTCTCATCATTATCTTGCTGATATTTGTTATTGAAATGGATGAAAAAATTCGCTGAGCTGAAGCCCGGGACGTCTTGAATAAAATGGATGTAATCTGGACATCTGATCTGCCAGACAACCCCAAACGGAGACATTTTCGAGCCACTCTTTTAACTAAAACCTTAGCGTCTAAGCATGATGGAACCTATAATTTGGATGCTGAAAGCTATATTTAACATCTCTTGGAGAAGGAAAGTTGGCTCCCTGTGCCGCGCCAGGAGATTTTTCTTCCCGGAATCGATCCTCCAGATCTACAAATCAACAATTCGCCCTTGCATGGAGTATTGCTGCCATGTATGGTCTGGAGTCCCTTCTGTTTGCCTCGGAAAGAAAGAAAAAAAAATTCGCTTGAAGATGGAACAGAGCTCACTTTAAATCAATTTAATTCAAATAATTATATTGAAGTTTTCGGCTCTTGTTTTGAAACATGAGACCTCTTTTTTCACTGCTCTTTGGACTGTCATCTCTGAAACTTCTCTCTGACGTGCCAAATGTTATATGGATTGAGTTGGATCTTTTCTAATTAATCCCCTTAGTTCTAATTTGAAATGATAGTCTATCTTCCTGTTGTGAAACTCCTGATTTAGTTTTCCTTTCTATTGTTCCCTCTTTTCAAACTTATTCACCGTTCTTTTGATGGTTTAATTTGAAGATGGAAACCAGAGAATGAATGTTTGTACCATTGCTGCAAGTTTGAATTATTTCCCTCTCACTATTGCTGAGTTGAGAAGACAGCGGGACTGAAACAAAACGATTTTTACCCGTTCTCTTTCTAACTGAATAATTCAAAACGTTTTTCAGTGATTCTTACGAGAAATGGTGACAAATGGTGTCAAAATCGCTAATCGTCTTATCTGAAAACCTGTAAAAAAATTAGTTTAGTGGTTTTATAGATATTAAACATTTTGTGGGACGGGCACTTATGTTCTAACGTGATTTGGACCATTTTGCTGTTATACGTAGTAGTATGTGTGTTATTATATTGTCAATTAAAAATTGACACTTTAAAAATTTCTATTATCTCGAAAGCCTTTCTTATCTTTTTATCTCAATCTATTATTCTTAAGGCTGGTGGAAACTGAAGGAAGAGAAGCAAGAGGTAAAAACCTTGAAATACTTAATCGTCTCAATCTCCCAAGAGTTGGCGTTCCGTGCAACAAAGGGTTAATGTACTTCTCGTCTCACAAGGAAGACAACGAAACGGAATTTACGTTTAATTTTTACCTAATTCTGCAATTATTATTTTAATTAATTTATTTACTTGTTTCTTTAGTCTTTTATTGTTTGGGTTCATCGATTTTAATTCGGATTACTCATTTGTCCTTTTATTTATCGTCCTCCATTTTTCTGTCTTTCTTTCTTTCGTCTTCTATTTCTTTCCTTTTATCTTTCATTTTCATTCTTTTTTTTTTCCTTTTTTCTTTGATTGCTTTAATCCTAAATTTTTCTTCCTAATTCTTTCTTTCATTCTTTTTCTATTTCTTTATTAGTTTGATTTTTTCTTTTTTTCAATTGCTTTATTTCGCGATTTTTCTTCCTAGTTCTTTCTTTCTTTCTTGGGTTGCTTTATTTCCCGATTATTCTTTCTTTCTTTCTTTTTTCTTTCTTTCTTTTTTTTCTTTCTTTCTTTCTTTCTTTCTTTCTTGGGTTTGCCTTATTTCCCGATTATTCTTTCTTTCTTTCTTTCTTTCTTTCTTTTCTTTCTTTCTTTCTTTTCTTTCTACGGTTGCTTTTATTTCTTTTCTTTCTTTCTTTTCTTTCCTCATTTCGTTGTCATTTCTTTCTTTCTTTTGCTTCCTTCATTTTTTTTCTTTCTTTCTTTCTTTCTTTCTTTTATTTGCTTTATTCAAGTCTTTCTTCCTGGTTTTTTTCTTTAATTCTTTTTCTTTTTTCTTTTTTTCTTTTCATTCATTCATTCTTTCTTTCTTTCTTTCTTTCTTTCTTTCTTGGGTTTGCCTTATTTCCCGATTATTCTTTCTTTCTTTCTTTCTTTCTTTCTTTCTTTCTTTCTTTCTTTGGCTTTATTCCAAGTCTTATCTTCCTGGTTTTTTTTAATTCTTTCTTGCTTTCTTTTTTTTAAATTCATTCATTCATTCATTCATTCTTTCTTTTCTTTTTTTTTTTCTTTCTTTCTTGGGTTTGCCTTATTTCCCGATTATTCTTTCTTTCTTTCTTTCTTTTTTCTTTCTTTCTTTCTTGGGTTTTGCCATATTTTTTATTTTTTCTTTCTTTCTTTCTTTCTTTCTTTCTTTCTTTCTTGGTTTTGTTATTTCCAGATTTTTTTCTTTCTTTCTTTGCTTTCTACTTTGCTTTATTTCACGATTATTTTCTTTCTTTTTTTTCTTTCTTTCTTTCTTTCTTTCTTTCTTTCTTTCTTTCTTTCTTTCTACAGTTGCTTTATTCCAAGTCTTATCTTCCTGGTTTTTTTCTTTAATTCTTTCAAATCTCTTTTTCTATTTTTTAAAATTCATTCATTCATTCATTCATTCTTTCTTTCTTTTTTTCTTTCTTTCTTTCTTGGGTTTGCCTAATTTCCCGATTATTCTTTCTTTCTTTCTTTCTTTCTTTCTTTCTTTCTTTCTTGGGTTTGCCATATTTCCAGATTATTTTTTCTTTCTTTTCTTTCTTTCTTTCTTTCTTTCTTTCTTTCTTTCTTGGGTTTGCCTTATTTCCAGATTATTTTTTCTTTCTTTCTTTCTTTCTTTCTTTCTTTCTACGGTTGCTTTATTTCACGATTATACTTTCTTTCTTTTTTTTTCTTTCTTTTTTCTTTCTTTCTTTCTTTCTTTCTTTCTTTCTTTCTTTCTTTCTTTCTACAGTTGCTTTATTCCAAGTCTTATCTTCCTGGTTTTTTTCTTTAATTCTTTCAAATCTCTTTTTCTATTTTTTAAAATTCATTCATTCATTCATTCATTCTTTCTTTCTTTTTTTCTTTCTTTCTTTCTTGGGTTTGCCTTATTTCCCGATTATTCTTTCTTTCTTTCTTTCTTTCTTTCTTTCTTTCTTTCTTATTTTTATTATTTTTATTTTTTTTCTTTCTTTCTTTCTTTCTTTCTTTCTTTCTTTCTTTCTTTCTTTCTTTGGTTTGCCTTATTTCCAGATTATTTTTTCTTTCTTTCTTTCTTTCTTTCTACGGTTGCTTTATTTCACGATTATACTTTCTTTCTTTTTTTTTCTTTCTTTTTTCTTTCTTTCTTTCTTTCTTTCTTTCTTTCTACGGTTGCTTTATTTCAAGACTTTTCTTTCTGGTTCTTTCTTTCCTCATTTCGTTGCCATTTCTTTCTTTCTTTGCTTACTTAATTCCTCATCTTTCTTTCTTTCTTTCTTTCTTTCTTTATTTATTTATTTATTTATTTATCTATTTATTTATTTTTACAGTTGCTTTATTCCAAGTCTTTTCTTCCTGGTTTTTTCTTTAATTCTTTCAAATCTCTTTTTTCTATTTTTTAAAATTCATTCATTCTTTCTTTCTTTCTTTCTTTCTTTCTTTCTTTCTTTCTTTCTTTCTTTCCTCGGTTCCTTTATACCCTGTTTCTTTCCTTTTTCTTTTTCCTACTTTTTTTTCTTTTCTTCCCTGGATCTTTATTTCTTTCTTTCTTCGATTGCTTTATTCCTAGATGCTTTCTTCTTTTTCTTTCTTTGTTTCTTTGTTTCTTCCTGTGTTTCCTTCTTTCTTTCATTCTTTCTCACTTTATTTGTATCTTTCTTACTTTGCTCTATTAACGGATTTTTCTTTCTCTCTCTCTCTCTTTCTTCATTCAGTTGCCATATTCCCAATGTTTCTTTCCGCTCCTTTCTTCCTTTACTTCTAATATCTTTATTTTACAAATGGATTCTTAAATCACCTGATGAATTTTCCAGAATCTGACCAAATAACGCAAGGTTTTATTTTAGCTTCCACTTTTTGGTCAGGTCCAGAACCTCTTTCACTAACTGCTCCTATCGTTCACTCTTTCCAGTTTTCTTTCTTACTCTTTCTTTCTACATTGTTATGCGTAAATATACATATATATATATATGTATATATATATATATATATATATATATATATATATATATATATATATATATATATATATATACACGTTTCATTAAATAATATAGACAAGTGTTGTCTATTTCATGCAAAATTTGTTCGTAACATCTGATAAGTTTAATAACATTATCATTAAACGAAGAAAGAAATTCACAATATTGATCCATATTTTTTTAATATAATCTAAGCTTTCGGCTTACTTAAGCCATTATCAAAGATGTAAATCACAAACATATTAAACAATATACGGACACGACAGTGATGATAGTCTGTCATTGTTTACATAGTTAATCACTAAGCAACGATAAACACGCGCATATAAGACGCTAGAAGCGAAAATCGCACCGCATCTCATGACGTCACACATGACCACATGAGAGTGAATTATAGAATGAAGAAGAAAATGTTGGTATAAACCAATGGCTTCTGTTACCAATTATAGACATTTAAGAATATTTGTAGAGATGCCATAATTGATTTTGTTTAGGTTGGGTTTTAACTGTTTGATGTATAATGCTTCAAGTATTTTTAGTTTTTGTCTATTGTTTTCATGTCGAAGTATAGTTGTGTTTTTCGACAAGTATTACACACACACACACACACATATATATATATATATATATATATATATATATATATATATATATATGAAAAAATATATACGGAAAAAACAAACAAAAATCCTTATATGCAATTATGGTGTTTTAATGTTAATATGTCAACGTCTGACGTTTCGGTCTAATAAACCATCTTCAGGACATATTCATAAATTATAACATTATCAATACAACATGACAAAGACGATGTACATAAGAACAAGACTTATCCAAACAAATAACTGAAAGTTTTATAAGATCAGCGCTCCGTTTAAAACATGGTCACGTTGTCGTCACGTGGGCGACGCTGTGAAAACGTATTCCTAAAATTTGAGTATTTTGAATGAAAAATGAAAAGAATTCTATTTTATTTTTTCCGTATATATTTTTCTTCATACTGTTGGATCTATATCCATATATTTGCTATATATATATATATATATATATATATATATATATATATATATATATATATATATATATATATATATATGTGTGTCTATATATATTGACATAATAGGAAAGAACCTTTAGATTGATGTGTTAAGCTTTTCTTTATATATATATATATATATATATATATATATATATATATATATATATTGGCTCTTTTGCCAGTATATTTATCCTTCCTTCGCTTTTAGTGATAAATTTATATTTTAGTCGTTCTTACTGCAACAATGAAATGGATAAATTCTGTCTTAATTTTTCGAGTTGTTGCAGTTACTTTTCTAATTCAACACGAACTCTATATACCGGGGTTGAATAAGACTGACAGAAGTTTTGTTGATTGAAATAGGTCTATACTTCATATGAGATAATTTTGTATTACTACTACATATATATATATATATATATATATATATATATATATATATATATATATATATATATATATATATATATATATATATATTATATATATATATATACATATATATATATGCATATATATATATATATATATATATATATATATATACATATATATATATATATATATAGATAGAGAGAGAGAGAGAGAGAAAACGTGCATGTATATTAAGAAAAGAATATGTATCTGTGTGCGTGTATGTGTATAAACTCAAATATATGCATGTGTGTGTGTGTGTGTATATTTCGTTGTTTGTGTAATTTTTCTAGCAAATCTACACAATTTTGTTTACACACACACACACATAAATCTATATCTATCTATATCTGTCTATATCTATATATCTATATCTCTATATATATATATGTGTGTGTGTACGTATGTATGTATATATGTGATCGTTTTTTCAAATCAATTACTTACGTCAACAGAACCTCGCAGAACTCTCCATCTTTTACATGTATTTGTCTACCTGTTTACATTCTCTGATTTTCTTACCCCGATCAGCTTTTGGCTTTTTTGTCACTCTCACTCTCTTTATCCCTCTCCCTCTCTCTCTCTCTCTCTCTCTCTCTCACACACACACACACATACCTTTTCCTTCGCTCCAAATAGTCTTTTCTCTTTGTCTCCCTACTCTCCTTACTCCCCCTCCTTACTTTTTAATCGTAAATGATCTGCCTTGAAAACGATACTCCCTCATTTCAATCACGCACCCCTACCCCTGCTACAACATCACTTTTTTTTAGAAGGTGGTGGGTGCGCTTTTTTTGTTTTGTTTTTTGTTTTTTTTTTCGCTACCCCTATGCACTTTTGCTTCCCATTCTTTTTAATCTAATCGTTATAAGTCGTACATCAATATACATATCAACGACCGGCTGATTCTTTACGAAATTATTGAAGGATAAACATTCTTCTTTATCTATCAAGCGGTTCTTTTGTTTTGTTAACCGTTTTTTTCTCTCTCTCTCTTTTTTTCTCTTTTTCCAAGAACCATTGTTTTGCGTATTCTATTATTTTGAGAGAACAGGGGAGGTCGTATTTTTCTCGGAGTTTTTATACCTTTTTTCTTTGGAAGAATTTTTCGATTTTTTGATTCTAACCAGACTCGAATTTCTTCAAATCTGTTTCTTATTCTTTATTTCGCCATTCGTCGACTGATGAGCCTGGGGTTAAGGTTTATACACGATTGATGACAGAAAATGTGCCGGCTCAGATGTATTTAGGCATCATAATTAAAGTACAGTCAACGACAGACCAATAACATTCGATTTTCTATCGAAGTCCCTTGGAAGATAAGTTGAAAAGATCCTTCTATCTATCTATCTATCTATCTATATATATATATATATATATATATATATATATATATATTTATTTATTTAAAATATGATTCCAACACGCTACATAAGAGGTCTCATATTTTAAATAAATAATTATATTTTCAAATAAATAATTATATTTAAGCTCTACTTTTGTATCGAGCACTATTTTAAAAAAAAATAATAACAAAAATACTAAAGAATTTTTAGATTATTTACCTAACGAGTTCTTTCCTATTTTCTATATATTTTCACACACACACACACACACACACACACACACACACATATATATATATATATATATATATATATATATATATATATATATATATATAAATAAAAAAAAAAAGAACAGTAAGATATATAATCCGGTGTTCTTATAGATATTTTTATTTTTACAAAATATATATCTCAGTCTATTCATATCTCTCTATATATCTCAGTCTTTTCATTACTATCTATGTATCTGTCTATCTCAGTCTATTCATATCTATAATTTATTTTAGATCTGTTTGTTCATATCTATCTTTCTCAGTCTATTCATATCTAGCTATGTAGCTATCCACACACACACACACACACACACACACACACACAGATATATATATATATATATATACATAAAATAATCAAAATAAATTTAAATTCATTCCTATCTCTGCCTTCCCTCTCGAATTTCGACTATGTGTGTCACGCTATCTCTCTCCACTCTCTATATCACCTTACATCAATTTAATACTACCGGGTAAAAGTGTAAATATTATATGTAAATTTAAATTCATTTTTTCATCCTTGGAAGTGAGGTCTGATGATCCAGGAGAAAAGAAACTCCATGGGAAATAAATTATAACTATGGACCCTTAAAGTTGTTGATTTCATTAAATTATATATATATATATATATATATATATATATATATATATATATATATATATATATATATATATATATATATATATATATATATATATATATATATATATATATATATATATATATATATATATATATATATCAAGAAAGTCTTAACACATTACGAAAATACAGCAATAAATCATGATTTATTTCGACCAGTAAGTCTCATCAGACCGAACATATAAACTTATAAAAGATATAAATCTTCATATATATATATATATATATATATATATATATATATATATATATATATATATATATATATATATATATATATGTAACGGAGAATGGTATTAAAAGAGTGCGCCTCTCAAGACTGAAGGATATTTATATTGTACATTTTTTTTTTATGATAGAATGGAAATTTATTTCCAATGGGTGAATTTCTGTATAAAACTATTTTTTAATTATAAAAAAAGCAGTTGAAATTATTAGATTTTTCAGTGCCTATGTGATCTCTTGGACAACCTGCATATATACACATATATTCAGGCCAGAAATTATAATTAATACTGTTTATTTAAAAAAAAACAGAGCATTTACTTAAATAAATTGTATCTATTAAAATAACTATAAACGAAGAATATATTAAATAATTTTCTTACTTAATCCATGTTTTCAATGTTTACGTTAAGCTACGTTTTGTGAGTAGATATTCTCGTTCGGGAAAGATCATCGAAGATTTGTTGTTTATAAACAGTAATTTGGACTTTGCTAACCAGACGCTTCTCTGTAGCTGAATGGTATAGCACGTCAGATCAGTTGACGGTTTCGTATAGGACACAGGTTCGATTCTTGGAGAACGTATATTTTCTACGAAATTTCTCGAACAGTTAGGCCCGTAAATATAACTCATATGATTTATATGAAAACCAGAACATTTACTTAAATAAATTGTATCTGTTAAAATAACAAAAAATATCTTAAATACACGCTCACATATATTTATATATATTTATATATGTGTTAGATGGTTCAGCTTCGCAATTTTTCCATACATAGGCAAACACTAAGACGAAATATGCATAGACCAAAATATGTTTTTTCTTTAAATTATGCTATTTATTGACAGTTAAATATATGTTTTGGATAAGACATATATTCAACTGTCAATAAATAGCATAATTTTAAAAAAAAAACATCATTTCGTCTACGCATATTTCGTCTTAGTCTTTGCCTATATAAGGGAAAATTGCGCCGCGAAGATGACAATTTGAAATTGTCGAAAGTAATTCCATCTCATCTTCCATCTAACAACAACTCAAAAATAAGTATCGTATTATTCAAGGAATTGATAGTAAGTTAATGTCTCATTGACTCTTATTAGCCAAGTGATTTTGTCATTAATCACATTAACATTGCTAATCAATTCTTTGTATAAATTGTTTCTTTATGACACACACAAACACACACAAACACACACACACACATATATATATATATATATATATATATAGAGAGAGAGAGAGAGAGAGAAGTTCCTTGGAATGACCACAGATTCCTTGCAGATGGACCCTAGATTCTAGATTGGATATAATTCAGGAGAATTTCCGCGTCAGTCTATAGGTCTTTGAATTACTCGCTGGTAAGACATGCCAGTGCGTTCGTGTAGCGTTATAATTTTCGTACGCCTCCTTGGAGTAACGTCCATCGCAGTCAATTGTCGTAGGACAACTAATCGACAGTCGAGACAATGGAATAGACATACGAAATGCTAACAGGTGAACTTGGTTTTGTTTCATTGAATAAATACGAAAAAAAGTAAATAGGAGCGGAATTATTTGTTTTGTTTCAATTAATTTGCACAAGGGTGTATTTCTATTCTGACAAGTGTCAAAGCCTAATGAAAGTCTACAAAATGATAATATACACATATTATCCCTCAAATATTTTTTTTCTGTTTCAGTAGACCAGTCAACTTAAATTTTGTCCAGTTCTGCTCTGGACAGGCCAGACAGATTGAGCAAAGGATTGGTAACTACTGACGGAAAACTTCCTCATCGATTAAGAAGTTTGATTTTGGAATGTGATTATGGGTACGGAAGTAATGGGACTATGCAGTACATTGATTTCTTTTTGAAGGCACACCTGGAGCAATGTTTCAAGAAGAATCCAAACACTTGCAAAGAATCAATGGTTTCCATGAATCTCGTACATTCATAACTGCTCATGGTGTATCAAATGTAAACAAATGACGTCATATATTAAGAAATGGACAAAGTCCGACAATTTATTTATTAAAGTCATTTTTATGTTTAACGTTCTTTTTATAGATACAAGTATTTAAGTAAATACTCTGTTTATAATAAACAGTATTAAATAACATTTACCGGACTGAATGTCCGAGAAATTTTCATTTATCTCCTGTTAATTCCCTTCTGAAAGTTCTCCAGGTATTGAACTCACACTATTTGGGTCCTGTCACTGGATCTAACTAACACCTTTATCCACTGTGCCCTTGAGATAAACATGGCGACAAAGATGAGGACAATAGTCCGAATAATGTAAATAGTGTAGATAATACCTCATATCAGAAATATAGACAGATACTGAAAGGCCGAAACGTTGTAATAAATATGACGACAAAGATGAGGACAATAGTCCGAATAATTTAAACAGTGTACATAATACCTCATCTCAGAAATATAGACAGACACCTCTTCCTCCTCTGCCACATTCGCACTTCCCACAATTTCCTCCAAAACTTCTGTGTGTTAAATCTGTGGGACAATGAAAATTAAATATTAAATAAAATAAATAATAATGATAATAATAAAAAGAATACTTTAATTTTCCCATAATACAAATGTAAACCAAAAAGAAGGGGTTCCGGAAACGGGCAAATTTTGCGACGCCACTTCCGGAAAGGAGATCAGTCCTAAGAAAAGAAGATTCAGTCACCCTTTCTCAACGTCATATTGACTTAAGTTCGACCATTCTCTTTCCTTCTGAGTTTAGTACACCCACGGACGTCTATAAAAATTGACCCTTAGTTTTCCTAGTTTTTTATGTTATTTATTGTGGTCCAAGGACATTACCGTCATCTGATACTGGGCGAAAACCCATATACCAACCCACTACACATCTCCTGTAGGTCCTTTGCCTAGTTTGTACACGGCACCCCAACGAGTGCATTCACATCCCCTTCATCCACCTCAAGGCCCACAGACTTTCGAAGGCTAACAATCTCCTCCATCACTTACGCCTCCTGTTCGAATCGAGTACTCTCAATCACTGTTTGTTTATCTACAAATACGCTTAAGTACACCTTCTTACCTGCCGTGCGCCAAGCTAAAGACAACCGGACGTCTCGCCACAATGATCAGCCGTGATACAACGAAACAGTCTCTCTGTGAATGACAATATATATGCTCCTGAAAAATTTATTTCGGTTGAGCTCTCTGGAGAGAAAGTGTGGGTTTGTAAACAGTGACTATTAAGGCTAATAAAGCATGACTCTTCGGTAAATCGAATCGAGTTCTGTCATTCAATTTGTGTTTATCTTAAAATAAATACGCTTAAATTCACCTTCTTCTCTGCCGTGCGCCAACGGCTTAGGGGTAAAATCTCCGATTGACGCAAATTCAGTCTGGTTTCGATCCTAGCTTATGACAACCGGACGTCTAGCAACACCGATAAGCTGATAGAGACTGGGTTTCAGGACGTAGCTTCCTCCAAGTAGAGTTCAAGGTTCTCTTTCGGAACCTTCTGCCAAGCCATATAAATGAATTTGACGCAGGTAACGATGTTGTAATTCTCCTTCCAGAAATCACGAAGGGTATGGTTCGCGTTCTCTGTCACTAGTCTATGGGCTGGAGAAAAGGGGTGGTGTCGGGTAGAAGGAAAAGAACATAAATAAAAGAGAACACTCTTTGGGGATGTCATCCTCGAGATTCGATATGTAATCAGGAGCATTGT